CGTTGCCCCCCCCCCCCCCATTTGAATGTGGACCCTTTGCAGAGCCACAGATGGTAGAAGCATCCTCGAATTTTAAAACACAAATGTTGAAAACCCACGGATTTGAGCTAAGCTAAACACCGACAGCCACTGTCCGGTCAAGGCCGACCAGAGACCGTGAGGAAACAGCTGGGACCCTTTATCAGCCGACCACCCCCAAGCTGTCCCGTCACGGCCTCCATAGTATTCAAGGGTATACTACTCGTGCTGGCACATAACCGGTCCGCGCACGTCAATCGAACGATAGCCGCAGGAACCCATATATCGTATTAAAGACGCCCGCCCACAAGGCCATGCGTAGCTCAGCTTTGTCGACAGTTTGGCGGCGGGTTCGGTGAAACTTTATAGCACCAGTGATTCGTTCTGAGAAGACGACGCGCAAGAATACAAGGGTGTTGGTCTATTCGGCAAGTGACCCGTAGTTCATGGGGTTTATCACAAGTTGAAATCAGAAGCAGCAGCAGGGAGACAACGATCCGAGAGTGTGTTGTTTTAGTCCTGGATTCACCTTTTGAATTGAACAGTACTATTCACAACATATAGAGCGACGACCACCTATAATTCAGCTGGACGCTCGAAAACCTTTCGACCACTCTCCCATGAAGCCTAAAGTTTGGCGATCTCCCCTGCACGCTGATCCTTCTGATCCTTCTTCTCTAAGACAGGCTTCGCCCGATCTCTCAGGAGCCGTCTAAGGATCTTCCCACTGGGACTCTTTGGTATCGAATCGACGAACTCGATGCCACCATCCAGCCACTTGTACCGCACCTTCTGATCGCTTACCCACTTGGTGAGCTCTTGCTTTACCTTCATTTCCTCTTGTCGGCTGGAAGCAGCGCGTTTGGTCGTTGGTTCGTCCAGTACGACGAACGCGAGAGGGATCTCGCCCTTGTATTCATCCGGAACACCGATCACGCCCGTGTCTTGAACGGAGGGATGCTCTAGCAGGTGCGCTTCCCGTTCCGCAGGCGCGACCTGGAATGCTCGCACTTTGATAAGCTCCTGGACGCGTGTCAGCTTCGTGTTTCGTGCCTGTCTCGGGTACACACCTTGAGCCTATCGATGATAAACACACTTCCGTCGCTCTTCACATATCCCTCGTCGCCCGTGCGGACCCAGCCATCTGGAAGGAATGTCTCTTCGGTCGCCTTCTTGTCATTCGTGTATCCTAATGTGTTCTGCGGACCCTGGACCCAGATCTCGCCTGGCTCGCAGGACTCTGCGGTGGTCCCATCCGCTTTAACGATGCGAACCATTGTATCAGGGAGCAAGTATCCCGCCGAGTCTTCCGGGCATGGTTTATGGAAGTCACCCTGGAAAATCGTTGTCATTCGCACTGACAAGTTCGGAGCGAGGTATTCACCATGCAGACTAGCCCGGTTGTTTCGGTCATCCCATATGCTAATCCAATACGGGCACCGGGCAAGCGAGCTCGCAGTTGCGTCAGAAGAGTGGAAGAGAGAGGCGCTCCTCCTGAGACAACCCAGCGACAATGGGAGAGATCGTACTTCTTACTCGCCGTGTTCTAGGGATATCTCAGCTGACAATCAGGAGTCAAAAGCGACACATACATGTACGTTGACCAACAGTACAATGATGGACGGCACAAGACTGGGAAAGGTACTAAGAACAACATGGATACGAATCAGAAGAATTGCGCACGGAAGGTGGGTAATTAGGCGCGTGACAATCGTCTTCAAACACGGCTCCAAGCTGAACTGAGGAACAACAACGATACCGGCACCACTGTAGCATAAAGTATGAAGCTTGAAAACACCAGGAAATGTGAGCGGCGTCATCGATCCAAGATGTGACTTACGATGGCGACTAGTCCATAAACATGAAAGAAAGGGAGGACTGGACTGGTTATTAGCGTTCGCTGAGTCGTATAAGATTAATGACGCACCACCCAATACTAAATCTCCCGGACGGATCCATCTGTCTTCGTCAGATAGGCCCTTCTCGTTCGCCTTGTAGTGGGCTGTCATCTGCATACTAACGGCGATCACGCTCCGATGTGGTACCGCGATTGCCTTCGGCAGACCGGTCGTCCCGCTCGAACTGCCCAGGAACGCGATCATATCTCCCACGTTTTCACCACGGGGTTCGGTGTAATTCTTCTCCAGTCCCCAGCCTTCGTGAACAAGCTGCTGTACCGTCGGGAAGGTCCCATGTTCAGATCGATGGGGCTCCTCTGGGAGCATAGATATGAAGCAGTCCCCTGACTGAGCCGGCAGAAAGGTCATCTTGCCGTCCTGATTCGTCTACCACCACATTAGAACTCGACTCTTCAACGTGAACAATGCGAGAGGGATTGCGATCGAGAGGTCAAGCATTGGATACAAGGCACATATACTTGGAGCCACCTGTCGGACGAAGACAACGCCAAGTACGAAGAATAACAACCAAAGCTTCCTCCTCCGTTTTGGAGACCCACCCAGACAACAATGCGCCTGGTGACTTGCAAATGGAATTGCAGAATGAAACCTCGTGTGTTATTGTATCATAATCACGTAGATCCTCGCTGATCATCATCGTTTAGGGCTGGCGAAGAGTTTGGTACCATCCAGGCACCCCTGTCATCCGAAGACACGCTGTTGTCGGGCTTAGACCAGCCTGAGGCGCTCTCGTCAGTGTAAGCAACGTGACAGCAAATGGAACACATGTTGACAACTGAGCACTTACAACAGTTCTTCAAGCAGAGGCGGATCGAATGAAGAAGGAAGCGGGTACGAATTCATGATGGAAGGACTTTCCCTTAGAGTATTCGACCCGTCGCTGGGTGAACGCAGAGGAATTGGATCGGAAACTGCGCCATCGGCTGCTGGATATCTAACTGGTATGTCCAGGAGAATCGGGCAGCGTGGAGGGGAGCTCAATACCAGCGGACAGCCTCTAGATTAAGCCGATTTTGTACGATCTGATTGTTGCTGCATGAGCGAGGCTGGTCCGAAGCAGATGTTTTCATGCGCCCAATAGTGGACATCACTCCATTGGCATCGATCGCACCATCTGCTGGTGTTTTCTTCCCCTACGTGTTTCTTCGCTCTTCAAGATCCCCACCGAGTTCGTCCCCGCACGCATTCGAGGCGTTTGCCAGCGACAAATACGGTGCCTACGAAGTGGGGACTGCAATAATTCCTGTGACGTCGTGTACCGGCTCGGCGACGGCCTATCACCAAGTACCTGGAACACGGTATCGTCGCATTGGCACGCTCGCGGACTTGATCCATCCTCATGAAGAGACAAACAACACCCCCATGACACCAGCCTTGGTGCACGACCACGGCTATGCCAAATTTCTTGAAGATCTCCACCAAGCTGCTGAAGAGCGGGATGTTGGACGAATGCCACGGCCAATGGACCTAGCTTATATCATCTACCTGGTTAACTGTTCGGGTGGACATGGCGATGACCAATCGGCTCTCTCAGCATCCGGTATAGAGATCACAAGTGCATTAGTTGCCCCGCGAGATTGTGGAAGCAACGGATCCGAGACAACCAACACTGTTGTAGATGACGACCTGATGCAGATGCTTGCCGAAGGCGTAACCTCGTCACCACCATCTGAGCAACATGGGACGGGTCCGCAGCAGCCCGAACAACACGACACATCTCCAAGTTCGGATTCCGAACTGCGAAGCTCGACAATGGTCACGAGTCGGAATACACACGTCCAGCGGAGAGGGGTCGTCTCTGTTGGCCTGTCCACCAGAAGAATAAAGGGTTCCCGCGGGCGGCCGGGTCAAACAGCACGTGCACTGCAAGAGACAGAACGGTTCATAGCTATCGCCTCTTATCTCCAAAATCTCTTTCCGACCCTCAGCACGAAGTTGGCTGGTAGTGGAGGTGGGCTCGCCGGAGGCGACAGCGCATGGTTGTTCAAAACCAGAACGGAGGCTTTTTTGAACGTTTGCGAAGTTTTGGAAATGCGAGCAGACGATCTCCACATCGGTATTGACCAAGCTACATCGCGCTCAGTTTCGGTGGGTTGCGATGTGGTCGCTGGTTGGTTCGCGTCCTTCCCGAAGGCGAAGTCGCTCAATCGAGCGACGTTGACAAACCATCGCGGCATTCTCAATCGGTGGGGAGCCCTCTGGGCTGATTCCGAAAGCGATTACGAGGTCAATAAGGACATCCTTAACACACCACGTGATCAAATGGTGTATCGTCATCCGCCACGCAAGCCAAGAGGGCCTGAAGGTGTAAAGTTTCTTTCTGTGGAAATATTGGGTCTTATCGGCTATCTCTTTGCACCAGATGAGACTGACAGACGGCGGTTATTACCGTCCGCACTGGAAGAAAATTTCTTTCAAAAGCTATCAAAACGGTTGGCATGGGGAACTGTGGAAAGTGAGATCGCGGTGTATTTTCCTGATTATGCTCCTCGACGTCGGGTTGCTATTTCCAAGACGTAGTTGATTACACAATACAGTCCAAACGTTCGTTTTGACTCTATTAGGACGATACATGTAGAGAGAAGTGGATGCATTCTTTGATGGTTTTGGACGTGATTCAAGGTGGTCGAGCACTGTGATGTGCTGCTGATTGAAAAGAAGTTGGGATGGGGGAAAATGTCACAGTATGTCTTTTTACTGGAATGGGGATCGTCGGGGGATAGAGAGAATCGATGAAATGCCAAAAAAAATAGAATAAAAACATAGAAAGGTCACAAGTTTAGGCTAGATCTCGTGTTCTGCTCTAGATTAACGAAGAAAGCTATCTGGTTTGGTGGATGTGTGTTTCTAATTAACATAATGGAATGATTTGCTCTCAGAAAGACCGAGTTGAACGGAAAACGTACATTGTATGGAGAGTGTATGGAATCTGGTGAGTCTGATTACTTGGCTCGTGACGAAGATGGGAGTCAGAGAATATTAGTGGTGGTTTTCCTCTTGATCTGAGCAAGATGGTCTGGGTTAGGAGAAAATTTCGGTCTGTCAGTTTGATGGGGAGTCGTGCAGAATTATGTATCGAATCGTTTCATTATAGCATAGAGGGAAGTACAAACTGTAAACCGGAAACGGGAAATTGGAAACTGGAAACTAAAAACTAAAAACTAAAAACCGGAAACCGGAAACTGGAAACTGGAAATACGCTGGACATTTTACCCCAGATATGTGAGCGATGTGAAAGGCACTCTTACATGTGGACCATGCACCCGTGTCTTTCGAACTTGCCTTTCCCTCTGAGTTCATGTAATGTTGGCAGTTTGTTTTGAACAGTATTTGAGCCATGGTTAGACAAAGAGAATCGAGGCTGAATGCTGAATACAAAGGGTGTGATCAGAAAGTAACAACGACTGAATCTGTTCCAGTGGGCTGCACATGTACAGTGACAGCTATACGAGAGGCAATTTTACGCGGAACACAAGGGAAGTAACGAAAATATATTACGAAGAGGATCACTATACTGCATTAAACTCATTGCCGCTGCACATGAATAAACCGTGCAGAATGGAATTCACTTCAGTCTGGGTGCGGTCTAACGCCTCAATCAAATCGGATCCGAGTCGAACTGTTAAGCGGGAGAAACAAGTTTGTACACCGAATTGACTGAGTGACATCGGTTTGCAATCCTTGTCTAAATGTCATAGTACCGCGATCGAGAAGAACAATGACAATGATGAGGAGTGCACAAAGAAGTTGTAACAAGAAATGCGCACTTGAATTCTTCGGTCTCCAATAGTATCAAGTCCGGTAACAAACCGAGTGAAATACTGCGTACGGAGGCGGGCGTTTGTACCAAATGGCGTATTCTCAGGGAGGGAGACATCATTAGACAGATTTCTCAGAGGCTGAGTTTCACAAACGGGAGGGGTTGGCGATCCTCGAAGATAACAAATGAGACTATTCTTGAACCGCTTCTGGGAATGACCCCACGAAGATTCGTTGTCCCAAATGAGGTGAGTATCGATGAACAATTTGGGAAGAGTCGTGTCATCTTGCCAGAGACCATAGAGAAACGCTGGAAGATTGCGAGCCGCATGCTTAGCGTAAAACTGGAGAAACTGCTCAAAAGTTGGTCGGGAAGAAGAAGCACTGGAATCACCTGAGCAATGCAGCCACATGCGTTGAAGCCTTCCCCAAAAGCTTTCATTACAGGTGAGCTGAGCACATCATGGCCACCATAGAGGAGGAAATGGCGAAGGTCATGTGCGATGAACGCGTGGGTCAGGCGCATCTCGGAGGGTAAGGGGAGGCTGTCCGCAGGAGAACTGAATACTCCTCCTATTATAGATCAAAAGGGATGAGACAAGAATCTGCTCTTGTGAAGGTACATACATGACCAATAAGATCGAGGATATCGCTCAAAGTCGTCGTATGGTGGGTAATCGCTTGGTTAGATTCTCGCTTGATTGAGTCGTCCAATTCAGTGAGAAGAGCCGCGGCAAGAGGGTCAAAGGTGCGGATGAACTTCACATTGGAAGTGAGAGCGTTTGCACCATTGGATCCAATTTCCGCGTGGGGTGCTAAAATGTGCAGGAGAAGGAATGGTGAAATATCCACGGGTAAGCAACCCCAGTGGGCGATAGATATCGCGACAAGGACCCCCCAAGCTCTGAAGTGATGTAAGTATGCATCGGCAGCCTTAGTATATGGGTGAAAGGCGCGGCTGCCACTTGGTGTTGTCTGAAACAGGCAAGGTTTCTTCTGTGGAAAGACAAGAAGCGCTTTGAGCAAGGCGACTCGACCGGGACCTTCTCCCTCGGATACTAAAGAGCCTCTACGACTAGTGGAATTACGAAAGGTAGAACTGCATAACTATGAGAAGGGAAACCAGACGGATTGGGCAAAAATGGACGCACAACAAATGACGCAAAGCAACGATGATATTCGTCCTGAAGAGGGGAAAGGGGACCGATGATGGAACCGAATGCCGGCGCTGTACGAAGCTTGATTAGGTCGTATTTTGGATGATAAAGTAACAACACACCAATAAATACAGCAAGGCGGTCACAAAATAGATCGCGAGTGTCTTTCCAACCCGCATACAGCTTGATGAGTTGGCGAAGAAGGGGTTGTTGCTGGTCGATATTTTGTACTTTATATCGTCCCAGTGCAGACTGAACTTGGCGACCCGATGAAGGACGTACGAACACAAAAGGAGGGGCATGAGGAGAACTTGACTGGGGCGTCGGATTGGTGGGAAAGGCCAAGCGATTGGCTTTCATTCTTGACAGTATGGTGAGAGTAAACTGCTGTATCGTAGCTTGCGGACTGAGATCGAGATGAAACAGCAAGTTGTGCCGATGAAGGGATTCGAGGAGGCGAATAAAGACATCACCACGCACACCACGATATTGGCATCGACGAGCGTGGACGGGAAAATAGCTGTCTCCAGAAATCTTTGCCGAAAATGAGTTGGAGCGTGACCAAACAAAAAGAAATAAACACACCGGGGCAGGAAGGACAAGCACACTGATAGACAGAGGTGAAGAGGTCGATCGCACTGGGCGTAAAGGATCCAGTCGAGTTGAATGGCGTGATTCGATCCGAGTCTGTTGAGCATGTGCAAGGCGTTCTTCGTTGACGGACAGGCCATCGGTTGCGTCTAAACGCCGAAGAAAGCTACCACCGATTCGAGGTTGGGTCGTATTCCTCAAGATAGCAACAGGGCTAACAGATGGCTCCAGAGGCGCAACAGAACGGGGTGCTCGGAGTTGGGGTGGAATAGACGACGCTGACGGCGAGTGCGCGGGAATGGCAGGACTGGGAAAGTCGAGGGTTGGCACGTTACCGAAGTGAATAGAGTTGAACGCCTCTCCGCGTGTCTCAGGGGGCTGAGAATCAGTAGATTGTTGAAAGTTGGCCGTTGTACCAAAGGTACTGGAGGAAGGGGCCATGAAAAAACTGAGCAGGATCAATTGTTTGAACTGCGGAGTAGGTGTACGGCTGGTGTAGGCTGTACGGAAGTCCGCACGGAAGTCCATTTGACAACCAATTCTCGCATAAGACATCACCCTTCCAGGTCGGAATACGCTGAGAAGAGTCAGGGAATCGGAGAGGAAGAGTGGAAAAAAGCTGCGCACATTGAAGAAGAAGGCACAATCATTCGCGCGGGTCCCGAACCTTGGTGGGTCGGGGGAGGCGGGATTCCAATGGGTTGCGAAGGGGTGATGGCAAACACAGAGAGAATCAACGGATAATGCTCGACCAGAGATACTCTGAAAAAAAAAAAGGTGAGTTGATTAGGAAGAAATCTAGAGTGAAGACCAACGTGATGTGGTTGAAATCGGATACACAACAGGCCGCAGTGCTGACAGTGAAGTGGCAGGTGTGTTGGTAGAGGAGGACCAAATGGGAGGGACATGAAGAGAAGACAACAAGTTAGGTATGGATAGAGATAGGATCATAGATGGTGGACGAAGGAGAGAAGAAAATATATACGTTGTCCTGGAGGGGGGGAAGGCGAAGGGATTCCGGGAAAAATAGAAATGAGAGGCGGAAATATCGGTACACGGTTTCTGTGTCCTTGTTGTGACGCTTGACATTGCTGATGAAAATAAAGACCCCAAAGCCCGAATGGTCAAGAGACGGTGAAAAGACGCAGAAATAACACTCCGACACAACAACGATGATGTTCCGTTGTGCGGGAACGATGAGAGGGATGTTGGAGGGGAATGGGGGGGGAACGGGGGACACAGTGGGATTCGTACATGACCGACAGGGCTCGCATGAAATATGAGGGAAGCGAGTATCACACAGGATACATCCAGGATACAGGTGATGGTAGGGAGAAATCAGTGGAAATTAGGATCATCGAGGGTCTGGCGGGATGAAGCTGGGTTATTGGGGAACGCAAGTGCAGAACAGCTTCCGATGCATTACCCTGAGAAATATGTCCAGGTTGCTTACTCATAGTCCCGCCTTGACAGGTGTTTCTGAATGACATCCAGAGGAGGAACTTGAGAGGGCAATCACGTGATTATATCTCCGATTTCTTCCCTGCTTAACTCCGAGCGGGGTGTGCAGCGTGTCAGGCGCTCACTGACGGTTATTGTCCTCGAATGAAGTGTTCATCCTTACTTATAACACCACTGACATCCGTATACCTCTCTTCTACACCACCATCTATTTACCTTTGACAACTTGGAAGGAACGACGCCCGACATGGGCAGCAAGTCCCTTCTGCGGTATGATGCTCCCTGTCTGTCCTTTCCCATCCCTCTCATCTCCAGCTAACCACCGCACAAACAGGGCCAATCTTCACTCTAGACTGGTGCAACTCCTCTGGCGCTTACCCTTCTACAAAGGCCTCCCAGACTCACAGACTCGCTCTCGGCTCCTTCCTCGAAAGCTCACACAATGCTCTCCAAATCATCGGCGCAGCCAGTGACACGCTCGACGACTACTACCCGCCTTCCTCTTCCTCAGAGTACTTCCAGCAACAGGACTTTGTCCTCCTCGCAGAGACGCAGCATGGATATCCAGCGACGAAGCTGCTCTGGGAACCGGCAGGGGCGAACGGGCATGCGTGGAAGTTCAAGCCGAGGTTAGAGGCGGAGCTCCTTGCTACCAGTGGCGAGGTTCTCAAGATCTGGGAATATGATGCTCAGGGAGGGGGGAGAAGGCCTGCAGCGGGGTACGTCGGTCGTGGGGCTTCAGGTGTCCCCGGGAGCCTGAGGGAGGTGCAGAAGTGCTCTAGCGTGCGTATGACTTCCTCCAGCCTGACTCCGCACCCAGGCTGACCGCATTCCAGGCTAAAGGAAACAACGTCCCCGCGCCCCTTACAAGCTTTGCGTGGAACGCCATTTCCCCCTCGCTGATTGTCACCTCGTCAATAGACACGACCTGCACCGTCTGGGACATCACATCCAACAGTGCGATCACGCAGCTGATAGCGCACGACAAAGACGTGTACGACGTTGCCTGGCTCCCGCATTCCACGGACAGCTTTGTGAGCGTCGGTGCTGACGGTAGTCTCCGGGCGTTCGACCTCCGGAGTTTGGAACACAGTACGATCCTGTACGAGTCACCGCCCCGCGAGCAATCTCGAGGATCGGACGAGATGGTAGTCACACCCGCTACGCTGACCGGGGCGAGCTCAGGCCGGTCTGCGCCGCCGTTAGCGAGGGTTCAGTTCTCTCCTACGGATAGCAACTATATCGCTATGTTCCATCTGGAGAGTAATAAGGTTACCATCATCGATATGCGTACTCCTGGCCGGCCGTTGGCGGAACTGGTCGCCCATGGGGGGAACGTGAACGCGATCGGGTGGGGGCAGTGTGAGGCTATGATCGCCAGTGCTGGTCCGTCCTCCGCCAATCCCAATCTAATCATGTTTATGCTTACTGACATGCTGGTAGGGGACGACCACCAGCTCCTCCTCTGGGACCTCTCATCCAGCGTCATGTCCCCACACCGTGTCGCCCCTACAGACATAACCAATCTTCCCCCTCCCGGAGAAGTGCGCGACCCCGTACTAGCGTACACTGCTCCGGGGGAGATCAACAGCCTGGCGTGGAGCTACCCAATGGTAGGCGGTGTGTGGGGCCAGACGCCCGTCGAGTGGGTCGCTGTTACGGAAGGGAGGAGTGTGAGGGCGCTCAGGGTATGATTGACTGGGAGAGGTGTGGGATTAGCTGTACGAATGATATCTTTTGTTGATTTGTATTTGGACGTCCGACAGTTTCAGGATCACGTGCCTGGTATATTCCGATCGACGCATGTTCTCTCATGTGCATCATACTTCTGCACGATGCCTTACAACCAATTTCAGTCCGGGGAGTTTGACAGGCAGTCGCAGGTAAAACTGGTAGTTGCCGAGGCCATTCGCATTATTTGCCTTCCAGCCTGTCACTCTCAAGGCAGCATCGCCCTTTCCCCCTTCTTACTTCTCGCAACAAGATGAATAAGAGGTACCTCCAGAACGAAGAGTCCAAAGCAGAGAACACGTGTGGAACGGTGTTAGACGCCTCCCGAGTAAAATGGTGCTCTCATAACAATTTAACGACACTTGGTGCAGAATTCGGAAATCGACTGATGCTATGTGAGAGATTGGAAGAGCATACATTGCATATCCAGTTTTGTGTATACATGCGTCAACCTAGTACCCATAAAGTACCAAACCATCCCCCACACGTACCCACTCCCAGCTCATGACGAAACGACGGTCCATGCGCGGATGGCGTTGTCCGTGAAGCCGCCGAAGAGGGTTTGGCCATCAGCAGACCAGGCAAGGGAGACACATTCCGGGTCGCAGCTGTTCTTGCCAACCTGGACAAACTCGGGCTTGAGCTCGTCCACAATGGACTTGCTCTCCAAATCGAAGATCTTCACACAGGAAGCGGTGGCAGCGCACAGCCAGTAACGGTTGGGGGAGAAGACGAGTGCGTTGACGATGTCGCCGGCTTCGAGCGAGTAGAGGTGCTTCCCATCGTTCAGGTCCCAGAGCATGGTGATGCCGTCCTTGCCACCGGAAGCAGCGAGGGAGCCATCGGGTGAGACAGACACGGCGTTGATATAACCAGTGTGGCCGTAGTGGTTTGTCTTCAGCTTGCACTTGGAGAGCTCCCAGACCTGGAGATATCATAATCAGTTCATTTTCGACACTTCGAACAAGTAGAGCGTGATCAGAGATCTTGGTGGAAAGGTAGTCTCATAGAGCCGGAGCTCTCTGAAGTAGCAAATATAGAAGAAAAGTTGCATCATCTCAAGAAACATGCGCGATACACACCTTGACAACCTTGTCCCAGCCGCAGGATACGATGACGGGGTTCATCGCATTGGGGGAGAAGCGGACGCAGGAAACCCTGATAATCGATTAATTTCGGACATATTACTCCTTCCATGACGAGACGCACCACTCGGAATGGCCCTCCTCCTTGATATCAAACTTGCACTCGCCCAGCGTGTTCCACAGCTTGATTGTCTTGTCGCGCGAGCCAGAGACAATTTGGCGGTTATCCGCTGAGAAAGAAACGGACAGAACATCGGCAGTGTGGCCAACAAATCTCCGGGTGGTCAAGCCGGTGTTGAGGTCCCATAGACGGAGGGTGTGGTCCCAGGAGGCGGAGAGGGCGAACTGACCGTCGGAGGAGACGACGATGTCCGAGACGAAGTGGTTGTGACCTGTCAAGATCTTCTTGGGGTAACCGTACTGGTCTTGCTCCCGGGTGAGTTGCCAGACGATGATTGTCTTATCTAGATGAAATGGAGCGTCAGCCGATGATATCTCCGAGCTCGTGGTGGACGTTCGCACCCCGAGATGCAGAGACGATCATGTCCGGGTTCTCCGACGAGGTCGCGATGGCGGTGACCCAACCCTTGTGGCCAGTGAGAGAGCCAAGGAAACGCAGAGACTCGGTCATTTCGGAGGTACGGGAAGGAGGGAGAGCAAGGTAAATATACGACGTTGAGTCCACTCGGGCGACGACGACGAGGAGCAACGCAACCAAACTTGGAATGAGAACGGAAGCAGAACTTAGGGACACCCTGAAGTACTGTACAGCAGCCACATCACTTGCTTCTCGCGCGCTTATCTCCGCATTACTGTCAACGGGCGCTAATTCTCGAGCTTGAGCACGAGCGTGACTTCAATCTCTTCAAAACGACGAAAAACTGGAATCCGATTGTCTTTCGATGTTCTCCCTTATCTGGACGACTTTGTGTCTCATTGAATGCCACACTCTTTATGTCTTCTCCTGCTCCTCACAAAGAAACCTCAAAGACGTGGTTGTACATTGCTCTACCCTCTATGAAATCTATCATCACAATTTGGCCCTAGTCTTCCCAGCCTCCCCTCGTTTCCTAACAACTTCCTCCGCCTGATCCCTCAGCAGCCTCCTCAATATCTTCCCACTAGGATTCTTCGGCACGGCCTGGACGAACTCCACTCCGCCGTCGAGATGCTTATACCTCACCTTGTTGTCCGCAACCCATTTCCTGAGCTCTTGGCGAATGGTCTCCGCCTCCTTCGGGTCTTGTGCGCGCTTGGAAACAGAGTGTTCGAGCACGACGAACCCGAGCGGCATCTCGCCTTTGTACTCGTCTGCGATGCCTACTACGCCCGCGTCCTGCACGTAGGGGTGGACGATCAGGTGTCCCTCCAATTCCGCAGGAGCGACTTGGAACCCGTTCACTTTGAGGATTTCCTATTTACCTGTCAGCTCCTTCTCAATCCGTTGCATACGAGCGCACCTTAAGCCGATCAACGACGAACAAGTTCCCCTCTTTGGTCATAAGCGCCTCGTCACCCGTGCGGACCCACCCTTCAGGCAGGAACGTCTCTTCTGTGGCTTTCTTATTGTTCGCATAGCAGAGCGCCATTTGCGGGCCTCGGACCCACAGTTCCCCGGGCTCGTTGTAGTTCGCTATGGAGCCGTCTTCTTTCACGATCCGGGCAATCGTGTCCGGGATGAGAACGCCCGCGGAACCGTTGACGGATTCCTGCTGGAAGAGGAACTGCAATTGGAATGAGCGGGACTGGACGGACTCAGTATACGGAGGAGGGCGACACCGCACCTTGGACACGATCGTGCACGTTTCTGTCATCCCGTACCCCTGTCCCATACGCATGCGCGGGAACATCCCCTTGAACTTCTCTGTTACTTCCTTCGAGAGCGGTGCCGCCCCGACCATGGCAAACCTGACATGGCTCAGGTCGTACTGCTTCGTGATCGGGTTCTGTGAGAAGCGTCAGCTGGGACTGCTTGATGCCGGACAGGGGAGAGTCCCTACGTTGACTAGCATGACGACTTGCGGAGGGACGATGTACAAATGGGTTATGTGATGGCGGACGATAGATTCGAGCATGTTCTTGAAGTTAAACTTGGGGCACACGACGAGCGTCATCCCACAGAACAACACAAAGTGCAGCTGCCAACCCGTCAGCTCACGTCCGCGCACAAGATGGACCTCAGGAGAACGCACATTCATCACCAGGCCGTATATGTGGTACATAGGCAGGACGCCCATGCACGCATCTCCTGGAAGGGCGAACCTGTCGTCTCCTCGGAGCCCACGCTCCGTTAACCGCTCGTGCATCGCGACCTGCAGCACGTTCGCGATCAAGTTCCGATGTGCGATAGCGATCGCTTTGGGAAGCCCGGTGGTTCCGGAGGAGAAAGAAAGGAAGGCGATGTTATCCCCTACATCTGGCCCTCGGAGCTCGGTGTAGTTCTGTACCAAGTCCCAGCCACGATCGACGAGGGATTGAACGGTCGCGAACTCCCCTTGATCTGGTTGGACAGAGGCTGGGAAACAACCGGCGGGAGTACGGGCCGGGGAGACGGGGGAGAAGACGATGATGTTCGAGGGGGGGAAGAGGTTGGCCGAGCTGGCTGCCTTTAGAGCAGTGGAGAGGGAGGCGGACGAGGTGAAGAGCAGCTTGGATGAGGTTGCTTCAAGCTGGTATTCCAGTTCCGAATGGGTATACGAGGGGTTAGCGCATCTGAGTGTGTCAGTAGAGCAGTACGAAGTGGTAAACGGAAGGCGCACGAGACGATCGCCCCCAGTCTGTGGAGTGCCCATATAACCATCGGGTAATCGACATCATTGGCGCTATACAAGCACGCTACGTCCCCTTTGCCCACCCCCCAGCGCTCCTTGATAGCCCTAGCAAGCCTCTCGACCCTCTCCCGGATTTCTTCGATCCCGAACGCTCGCCCAGATACGTCGTCGACAAGCCATTTGGAACCGGGGAGTCGGGAGGGACGCAGCGGGTGAGTATCGCTGTCGAGGATGAATTGGGGGATGGTGATGTCCCGCGGGAAGGGGTAGGGGACTGTATGATGTGGGTGAAAGTCGGGCATCCTCTCTTTGCTCCGAGTAATTTACTCTTGATGTCTAGGTGCGATGGTCCGAGTCTAAGATGAAGATCGTCTCCCGTACGTACGTCTAAAGTTGCCAGCTCTCTACGGACTGAGAAAGAGAACGAAAGGGAATGAATTAATCACCCTGCTATTCACCTCCTGCCTAACAAAAGCGGACAACCGGGTGGAGACTTCGCTGGAGGTGGACGGTCACGTAACACATACATGAAATAGCGAATGCGGGGTTGCGGGGCACCGGCCACGGACAACACATCCGATCGGTGTTCTGATCGGCCAGCACGGCCCGAATACCCTCGTTTTGAAGGGTCCGGCGAATATCGGTAGATAGCCCTTGACCAAACCAGTAGGGTCCGTCACTGGTTTTTGTTCCTAATGGTTATACTCTGCCTGACTGTCTGATATTAGCAAGATCCAAGTCATTTGCTACCATGCCTTGCACCCTCCGATGATAAGTTGACAATCATTAATAACCAACATGTAATTACGGCTAACAACATTATCTTATAGGAGGGTGTCTTCCAACAATGTCAGGAGATCTATCGCTCTCCCTTGCTCCTTTTGCTCATGTCTTCTCCACTCAATAGTTGGGAGAGCTCACTGTCTGGCCCATCTCTTTCCCAGCTCAATGGTTGGGAGGGCTCTTGCTCCCATCCGTCCTCGTCCCTTCCCAACTCAACAGTTGGCGAGCCTCCCCTCCGTCCTCGTCTCTTCCCAACTCAACAGTTGGGCGAGCCTCCCTCCGACCTCGTCTCAAGACGTGTTTCCTCTTTCGATTCGTTAAACCCAGCAACGCGAGGTTAAGAGCCTGAGACAAGATGTAGAAGAGAAAAACATAGCCCGCGACGTGTCAAAGGACTACGGCACAAACTCCGTAAATTTCCACGCCTGTGCACCGAGAGCTGGACGATCCTCTATTTCAATGCCCATCTCGCATGCAAATATCACTAAATTGAAACCGAGGCTATCTCAGAGCTTGGCGAGCACGACCATTCCCTTTTTCCTCGCTTGTACAATCTCCTTCGCCTGATCGCGCAACAAGCGGCGCTACGACGCGCAACCACATGAGCGCCTATTCGTGAATCACCAAGAACCAGAACGTACCAAGATTTTTCCACTCGGGTTCTTCGGTATAGCGTCGACGAATACCACGCCCCCCTCCAACCACTTATACCTCACCTTCTGGTCTCTGACCCATTTCTTGATCTCTTCACTTGCGTTCCCCCTCCC